CTTCCCTCTTTCCCCATCTCAATTCAGGAAGCAACAAATCTTTGTCAGATTCCAATGAACTTTTGTTACAAAACCCTGGAATTTGAGGAATGAAGGCTGAATGTTCTAACTGTCAAATTATCAAAATAATTTATTCAAGGTTAGTAGGGCAAAGGCTGCAAGCTAGCATATTTGATCTCATAAAAGAGTCTTATAATTTTGTTCAAGAAAAAAGGGTTCTAGGAGAAAAGAGTTCTAACCGGCACAAAATATACTCTTGTAATCTATCTTCACTCTTCCAACAACTCCTGGCAGGAAATCTGGCCAGGCCAGTACATTGCCTTTTTGGAGTTCTTCAGGACAGGATGTAGCCAGAGATTTTACCTGTGGATTTAAAAGAGTTGATTAGGTGCTGTTTAAAGACCGTGTAGAAAAACAATGTAAAAACTATTCCTTCCATGTCTGCATGCAACGCTATAACAAATCCTTGAATAAGTTTGTTCTTCCTTTCTAGCACAAGAGCCTTCTGGCTGAACTGCTTGCTATTCTGTGCTTCTAAGCCAGCTAGCTGTGGACAGGCATGTACTGAGGCAATACCTGAAGCAATACTTGTCATACAAGCAAAGTGTAAAACATAGCTCTTGAAACAATTGTGTTTGCAGTGTGAAAGAAAAATTTAATTATGTCACAGAAAGAGGCAGATACAAGAATGCAACATGCAAACTTGACCTATTTGCAGAAAAATGTCAAAGAGCCAAAAAGGAACTGGAATGCTGAAGATCTGCATTCCGCAAACTCTGCTGACATTGCAGCACGTTTAAGGAACAGAAAGACAATAAAGAGGGTTTAATAAAGCAATTTCTTGTTTTCAGGACATAAGTTCTGTGAACTGAATGCACTAGGATGCTCTAAACACTACACAAGCAAGGCCTACCAACCTCAATACTAACACCAGTATTGGCATTGACCAAAGCAGGACAGGGACATAACTAACCATGTATTGAAACAAGAACTATATATGCAAACTAAGGACAGCAGAAAGAAAGGAACACACTGCTAGATAAACAGCAGATCAATAACTTGAGGGCAGATCTAGTCAAGTATCTTTGATGGAAGTTTTCCACTTAAAACATAATTCCTTTAATGACACCATTATGGGTTTCTTTTGCATTTTTACTACAAGAAACTGAAATGCCAACTGGAATCCTTAACCTGTTCCAGTATTGTATATTAAGGTTAAAAAATAATAATTTAATAAGGTAAAAAATATTTTTATTCCTTCACTATGACTCTGAGAATCTATTACACATAGTAACATCACTGTATTTCTATCTGGCCACCAACAGAAGAAACCCAAGGATTATAACCCCAAATGGTACAGCACTTTTACGCTATTCAGACACCAGTGTATATTGTATGCAATAGCAAGAATATGCAGACAGATCCTTAACAATGGGATGTTACATAAATATTCCATAGTGTTCCCTTGAAAGGAGCTCCAATGTCCCAACCCCAACATCAGGGCAGATGCAGTTATATCTCAGCCATGGAAGTCCAGGAAAAAAAAACCATATATGCCCTGAAGAGGATAAAGCATGGTAAAGGGGTAATTATGGATTTCCTCTTCTTTTAAGGTATCAGACAGGAAGTGGTTTATGGAGAAAAGATGGTTATTCAATTAGGAGAACATGCTAGTAATTAGGTTACTGAGACTACTTCCTACTCTTTGGCTCTCCAGTGCTGGAGGGTCATTCCAGTAATTCCCTAGCATGGGTGTGCACACCTCAGCACAGCCAGCCTACTCATGCAATACATAGAGCACGGGTTCAGGGCACAGCTAGCTGGCTGGAAAGCACACGTGTGCCCAGTTCATGCCCAGCAGTTGGTAAACTGCCTTTCTCAGGAGGGTGACTGGCTGCTGCAAAGTGGATGAAATCAACTACCAAGAATAATGTCCTATACGGTCTGTCTTTGTTAGAAAGGAAGGTACAATATGAAACTCAGACTGAATTCTCACATTCCCCCTACCCTGAACTCCAGTGAGGTGAATCAGACTCCTCTACAGTCAGCTTAGCTGGAGAAGACAGCAAGCTGCTCTGTTTATTCTGAGGCAATTTCAAAGATTTCACTTCAGCAGTATGTGCTGATTGAAACTGCGTAGGCCAAGGGCTGCAAACAACTGCCAAGAACCTGCAGGGAAAAATTTCCAGCGTGGAAAAGGCAGGTTTGGCAATCAGCCCTTTCAATCCATATGATGGAGAATGGAGGGCCAGAAAGGACCCTACAGTCCCATATAGGTAACTCATGTTTCTAATGCTGTCTACTCAGCAACAAAACAATCAGACCATTGGTTTACCTATACAAAATTAAAGTGCGAGTGGATGATCAGATGAAGTACACAAAGAAATACCTTAAAGAGTGGACTTAGGCCTCATATTATTCACCGTGCACCATATTCTGTGACCCTGCTTTCCTCTGTCACTGATAATAGGAAGGTAAGACTTACAGAATACTTCCAGCTGGACACAACAAAACTGATAATAACAGATAATGATAGTGATTTACTATCCCAAGATCTGAAATGAAGGTTAAATTGAGGTAAAAAATTTAGATGAAGCTAACATGGCTCAGGTCCCTGTCTGGTCTCATATTAGTCTTTTCATATAAGTAATGTGGATACCATAAATGAAGGGCAGGATTTTCTTCCTCATCTTAACTGTATTGCATTTGAAACAAATGTGAATTTAATCAAGTCTGTCATTAAAGACAGGCAACTACTGAGTAAGACTCAGAAAATCACACTTTATCCCTTCACCAATATATCCTGTAAAATCACATGTACGCTTATCAGCTTCAAAACTGTAGTGAACAAAAAAAGAGAAGATCTGACTTGGGAATGCAACAACCGGTGACCCCAAAAGCCAAGGACAGTAGCAGATTGCTGGGCAGTTCAGAACCTAGCAGAAAGACAGAGCAGGAGAAAAAAAAACGAGAAAGAAGCAGAAGAAACATTTGGATGCTGGAAGCAAAGATTTTGCTTTATTTCTATTTACTGTTACTTGGATCACAGATACCAAACAGTGATAAACCACCAAACAGAGGTAAAACCTTTAAAAACCACCAAGAGAAGAATAAAATCTTTCAATCCAAAGATCCTTCCCCCCTACAACTTTGAACATTAGTCCTTGCTGTTCAAGTGTTATCAATAGCTTCATCATTTCTGACCTTCAGGACTGAAATACTAATGGACACAAAGTGGTGATGGAGTACACTGCCATCAGGTTTGCAGATAATATCAAACTGTGAGACCCAGTCAGTGTGCTGAAGGACAGAACTGAATCCAAAAGGACACTGACAGGCTGGAGGAATCAGCCAACACAGATCTCATGAAATTCAACAAGAACAAATGGGAAGAAAAAACTGCTGACTGATACAGGCTGGGAAAAGCCTGAAGAGGGAGGTGCTCTGTTGAAAACGACCTAGGGGCTCTGACAGGCAGTGAGCTGAGCATCAGCCAGCTGTGTGCCCTGCTAATAAAGAGAACCAACAGCATCTCTGGCTGTGTGATTAGGGTCACAACCAGAAAACCAAGAAAGGGATCATTCCCTCTTCTCAGTGCTTATTAGACCACATCCGGAGAATTACATTCTATTTTAGGCTCACCAGTACAAGAAAGATACTGACAAGCTGGAGCAAGTTCAGTGGAGGGTATCAAAAAGGTGATGGGACGGGGCATTGGCCCTGAGAGAAGAGTGTGTGACCAAGGCTGGTTCAGCCTGGAGCAGGGACAACTTTTTTTTTTTCCCCTTTTTTTTTCACCTAACATCAGTCCCTGGTACCAAGGGGAGGTCATCAAGTATACAGAGTCAGATTTTTCACAGCATTGCATGGTGAGAGATAGAAATATTAGTCATAAATGGAAGTGGGAGGTTCCAACCAGATACAAAAGAAAAAGAAAATCACTCTGAGGATAACTGAGCACTGAAGCTTGTCCCCCTCAGAAGCTGAGGAATCACTCTCCTTGCAGACACCTTCTGTGTGATTTTTTTTTTCAGATATCTGTGCAAGTTTAGTGCCAAACCTTCAATTTTGGTAGCTGAATAAAAGCAGCCTAGCATTCAGCTATGCTTACCATTTGGATTTTTCCTGGGACTATACAGCTCGGATTTTTCGTAGTGCCTAATGCACTGACTTTAATTCAGACGTGATGCCTCCCCTCTGTAGTTTTACCAGTGTCTTTGCACAGCGGTATGAGGGAACTGTAACCTGTAAAATAAGCTGTGAGCTAATTTTACTGTTTTTTCTCCCTCTTCTAACAGACTGTTAGCTTTTCTGTATGCCTTCATTTCTCTTTCAAAACTACACAATATAGGAAGGCTCAGTCAAAATAGGTGACTCAGTGTTGACTTTAACAAAGCTAGTTTTGCTTAGAGCTACTTTACTTACTAAGAGTTTCAACCAGTACCCACTTATTTCCGTGAAAACAAAGGTCTATCCAATATGCTGCTTGGAACGCCTTCTCAAACGTTCATCCTGTTCTCAGAGACCTGGGCCCAAACACTGCAGTAAGGACTTACCTGCTGCGGAGACAGGACATGGTCCCAAATGTTGAGCTGACTGATGGAACCCACAAAAGATTCAGCTGGGTTGAAACCTTCTCCTTTCTGATCTTGCTCTTGACCCAATACGAGTGCACCACCACCTAAACTCAGAGAAAATTAGAACAAGGACACAAAACAAAGCATTACAGCAGTGATCCCCATAGGAAGATTAAAAACTGAGAAAAACAAAACTTCTCTACCCTATGTTACTACGATTTTGTAGTGCAGAAGACCACCTTCAAAAAATTCTTTCAGCAAGCCTCTGGCAAGCCTTATGGTACACTGAGGTAAGTCAGCATAACAATTTGGAAGGGACTCCCAAATACACATTAACACTAAACTTTACATGTCTGTTCCAAGTATCTAAGAGACCACTCCTAGTTCAGTATTTGAAGCATGTTACAGAACAATTCAAATTTCCTCTCCTTGACCGGTAGCACAGATGACGTAGACATACATTTTATATGTCACAAGGTGTGTAGATAAGGGTAAAAGTAATACAGGCTGAATACTCCCTTAGGTCTTGTCTCTAAAGATAACACCAATGTAATTTGGAAAAACAGGAGCAAGCATAACATACACAAGATTAAAATGCTTCACTATTTAATTTTTTAAAAAAATATGGATAGTTTTTTGAAACTCGGTGTAAGGAAAAAACTGAAACGTATCTTTTAAAAAATGTCTGGAAGTAAGAAGGTTAAGACAATCAACTCTGAGCACACACTTGTAAGGGAAATGCCAGTTAAACTTAAGTTTGTTGTGTGGGAAACCTAATCACACAAAGCCATTCCAAAATCAGCTCAGCATAGGCTCCTTTGTGGACTATATGCCACCTCTAGAACAAGCTACCTACTAGTTTACCCTATAAATGTACACCTTGTCTTCAGTGTGGCTGAGTGAGTGAACTGTCCTCACAAATAAGAATAGTAAACATGAGCCCTGCATAAATATTGAAAATGCGAAAACACACTAAAACCATCAAAATAAACATATTTTTGTGGGTACAGCAAATTCTGCAGTAAAAACAGCATGAAGGCAATAGATCTGGTGTAATATAAATAAAGCATACCAGGGATTTTTGAGCCAACCGAGAGCCCGCTGCCTCCATCAGACAATTTTCCATCAATGTACACTTTCCACGCCCCATCCGTGCATGTCCACGTGACTGCAATATGATGCCAGTTACCATCATTCACTGAAGGACAGTCTGTAATCCTCTCTTTTCCATTTACATAAAGAACCCAGCTGCATGGAAGGAAGACGAAGGCATACTCAGTTGCATGCAGTAACTTTAAAAGCATGACTTGTCCCACATGAGTCAAAGAAATGTTATTTATCGAATGAGGTAACTGTCTCTACATCATACAAGAAATCCCTCCTCAAAGATCATCACACAAGACTTCTCTCAGAGAAGTTACAGTTTCATATGCAGATCATGGTGAAGTAAGTAATGTTCTTTTGTCCCAAAACACAAAGACTGAAATCAAGGCTGCATAGTAAATTCTTAAACTTGCCCCTTGGGTCCCTCTCTGCTTTTGGAGTCACACTACAAGTACTCTGAGTCTGGAGCTCCTTTCTATCCTGTCATTGTCTCAATGTATCATTTAGATGTAATAGAGATGTAGTTCAAACAAAAAATATCTTGCTTTCTAAACTTCACTGCTTTCTTCTATTTGGCAAAAAGTGAAGGAAACATATCAAGGACAAAAGAGACAACTCCAGCTACAGAGTTTGGATGTAGACTTTTCTATCTCAAATTAGGCAAAACTGATATTCAGACCTCTGGTCTATGCTTTCTTTATCACTTCGAGGCATCTGTAGGCAAGAGAAAAGCAGAACTGGGATTTACCCATTGTAATCAGTCAGAAGAAATGCATTATCACTTCCATTCTCCACTGCATAAGAAATGGGAGTCCCATAGTTTGTGGTGTCAGTGGATTTCATCCAGAAGGTACAGGTGATGTCACCAAGAGATGGGAAAACACCATCAAGCATGACATATCCATAGATACCGGAGACTTCAAAATCAAGATTGAAACCAGAGGACTGTTCTGCAATAAAGGCAAAGAATTTTCAGAGCTACATTCCTGAAAAATCAGAGAGAATCACACAGTATCTAAGTAAATGCAATAAAATGTAACACAATCCATCTCCAGAAATTATTCACTTTAAATTGGTCAGACATAGAAAGAAAGTATAGCAGTCTAACTTCACCCAGCATGTAGAGCCTTTCATGGTTAGAAAACACACAGAATTTGAAGACAAACAACCAGAAAAGAAGCTGATTATCAACAAAAAACAAATATGAACTTTGTTCTTCAGTCATCTATCAATGAAATGACATATCCATCTACCATCCAACAACCCCAAGAGGTGTGACCCACTGATTCTATTTCATTCACGAGAGGCAAGATTTTAAAAAAAACAACAAACAACGAAAAACCCACAAGATTTTTTCCACTCTAGACCTACTGAGATACACTGCAGTGGTATGGAACAACACTTCTGTGCTGTTCTTCAATGTAGAGTGACATGTTTTACAAGGATACTACATGCAAATGTACCAAATGGAGCTCTCACAACTCATGTGACTTGTATGTCTTCTACTGTCTGTAAAATCAACACAGGTTCTTCAGCTTCCATTTAAAGATTCACCAGCTACTAGTATGTAGTAATTTTTGTAATTTTGTAATTTTCATGTAATTTTCACTTCGTAATTTTCATGGAGTGGCTAAAAGCCTCATGTTTGTGTGGCCTAACTCCAGCACCATCCAGGAAGTCGCACCAAGAGTGACTCATTTTGTCTGACCATAGGGAAGTGGATGCCTTTTGGTCTTCTAAAGCTGAGCCTACCACATGCTAATATCTAACTCTGCGATGCAAAGGCCTGTAGGAAATTCAACAGAAAGAGCTAAGTAACGCAGATACACAGAGCAAATACAAAATAAACTCGGTATGTCTACAATGTATCAAAAAGATGGAAATGTGCCTTAGAAAAGAGAAATGAATGTAGATATGACTTAGTACACATGCTGTTACTTGTCTGCAATCACACTTGATAATACTGCAGTCACACAGGCTCCACTCAGCCTCTCAGAGTCCCACCACCCTAGCTATTTTCTGGGGAAGCTGTGTGGGATCAGCCCAGCCAGCGTAAATCTTGCCCAGAGACTTAGACCTTTTTCCGACACTTGGTCCTGTGTACCTGTTTCACACCTGCTGCCTGTAAAGCCAGGGGGACATTTACAAACGTACGAGTTCAAGGCATCCACACAGGTGGCTTGGTTTAAGCAGGGGCTGGAATCACACTCATTGATGTTCACTTCACAGTTTAGTCCAGTATACCCTGTCACACACAGACACCTATAAAGGAAAAGAGAAACACACTTCAAAGGTGGCTGCTGTCACGATAAATAATCCTGGCATGTATTTGAAAAAAACCTCCAAAACCCAACATAATGTTACATACCTAGACAGAAATGTGTAAAGGGGCCTCAGGCAGGAAT